CATACAAGTCTATGGGGACCCTATACACGGGCACTGCCAGCAGCAAACATCAGTAAACCTTATGGTGGGCCATGGCTTCCTGAATTAGGTAAGTAAGCAGTTGGGGTGGTAAAGGGTGAGGTACTTCAGGTCGGAGGGGTTGGTAGGCAGGTTAAGTGCATACATCTCCAAAAGTATACTTACCCTAAAAATGTTTTCTGTTTCTCTATGCAAATTATTATAAAATATTTTCTTTGCACAGACTTAGAACTATTTGTGTTTCCCTCAACCAGCAATCAAATTCAAGCATCCAGGGGCCTGCTCACTTTTGGAAGCACCTTTAAAGAGACTTGTCTTTTCTGTGACTGTACATTGTAAATGATAGAAGATATCTTTATTGCTTTATCTGTGCACACATTCGGCCTTCTACAGCCAAGTAAGGGGGGGACAGGGGTGTGACGCAGAACTCGTCTATCCGACATACAATTATTTAACTGCTGACAGATACTAAATGACTTCTCCGAAGGACACCCAGCATGTTCCAGCATCCATCTCCTGATCATCTATGTAATAAGAGCCATCCTCTCAGAGAGCTGTCTGAGACCAGCCCGGATTTCATAAGCTCTTCATCAGACCTCGAGTAACTGCGTTAAGAAACAATGCATAACTCTGATCGACAGGTGCTACTTCATTTAAATGTATTCAATACTGCTTAAGTCAGAGCTTTGTATTAAGCAGATTGAGTGACAGACAGACTCCGCACCAAGCAGGCTGCTGGAAATTAAAACAAGGATACTTTCTCTTGATCAGCGGAAGGGTTTAGCACAGTGTTGGCCAGTTTGTGTTGCTCCAGCATTTGGGGAAACAAGCCAAGCAGCTGTTGGGGATCCATAGAGTATGTATAGACCATGCATCACTGGGTAGACACTATTGCAGCTTGTGTGCCATGCATTTGCCTTGCATTGGCTGCATCTTTTGTCCCAGGCATGGCAGTCCTCAGCTATGGCCTATTTTTTGCTGCATTCAGGACTTCGTGAAAGAACTTCTAATATGAACTGATAACATGACTGCAATGCTATTTCATAAAAATAAATACTTTCTGTGAAACATCCCATTTTATTATGTTTACATGTTTCCAGCAGTCACAAACTTAAATTAGGCACGATTCCTCCTCTGCATTTCGTAATTGTCATTGGTGGGACAGTCCCAGTGCACCTCGCACTTGTTCTGAGTGATTGTAAAGTACTGTCACCACTGGGTCACTTCTAAACAAAACTCATGCTGAAAAAAAAGAGCATGTATACTCAAGGCAATGCTCGGGGCAGATGCTGCTTGAGGCTAGGGTTGCCACCTGTCCAGGATTCACCCGGACAGTTCGGGTTTTGAATGCTGTGTTCGGGTTTCATGGCAGCTGAAACCCGGACAATAGATGTCGGGCAGACAGGGGCAACCAAAATTAAGATAGGGGCTACTGGCTCCCCCCACTGAAAATAGTCTCAACTGTGATATTTACATATGAGTGTGAGGCGCTATTTACATATGAATAAGCTGCGACTCATTCCCTCCAAAAAATGTCTGCGCGTCGCTTGAGTGTTCGGGTTTCGCTTGAAGAAAAGGTGGCAACCCTACTTGAGGCGGACATTTTTGCCACCTACCCCCGTGCCAAATATGGCCTATGTTTCAGTTCTTGAAGTCAGCTCAGTGATGCAGAGTCAGTTAAATGTGCAGTCTCGGAGTCACTAAGTAAATGTCTCTCCTGGCCACTGTGCTTTATCAGGCTCACTGTTACTGAGCTGTACTGAAGATGGAATGTCAGGTATGGACAACCTGGCCTCAGTGCTACCCCCACAGCGCCTCTATGAGTGCCGTCTGAAGTGGCCACCCTAATTGCCCTCTGTATCTAAAGACATTGTGAAGAAAATTATTTTCAAAGTTCGCAACACAGGCACAGAAATCTGGAAGCAGAATCTTGGCAGACTGCCAGCACTCTAATGTAAACAACCAGCAGGTTAGGCCTTGTTCACATGGGTGGTGAGGGGGTGGTAAAACTGTGCTGTTGATTTTTGGTCTTACATTGCCGTATACATTGCTGTGCCTCCAATGCTTTGCTCTGTGGCAAAAAATATACAGGATGATGCGTTTGACAGGCGGTGCTGTGTGTCACACACAATAATTTAAATTAATGGGACGTGGTTACTTTGATAGAGAATTCCATCGGGATTTTTTTTTAAAAACCTAAATTTAGGAGGTGGCAGTATCATCTCCTGAACGCTGGGCAGGCACTGCTTCTCCACAACCCCCAAAGCAATCCACCAAGGATTGCTTTTCAAGGGCAGTGGAGACTGCAGCCCATCTGAACAAGGCCTTAGAAACTCAATGAAACCGGACTATAAAGAGTTTGTTGTGATCTTTGAGGATCTTTAAGAATGAATAACTTCATATTGCAAGCAGCTAGAGAGGCAAACGAGGGCTTGTTTTGACCCTTTCACTGCCACTGATGTATGTCACATGTCAGTGGCAGCACAGGTCTCACTTCCAACTTCTGTAACAGCCGGGAGTGTGTCTACCCTTCTTTAGCCAACTGTTAGCTTTCTGTTGGAAGTGATTCAGGAAGCTGTAAAGCAGTAAAGCTGCCTGATCTATTCCACACATGCATAAAGGTAATGCCCCCACCTTCCCGTCTATCCCCCAATATGTATCTTGGGCTCTGATGTACCTCATGCAGGCCTGGGACAGGCATGGCGGGTGTCGGGTAGAGCCAAGGGAGAGCAGCATAGAGCATTTTGTGACTTCTGATTTGAGCGCTGTCATTTCCCTGGCAGGGGGAAGCATGGTCTGTGTTTGATTAGGTTCAATTGAGTGCGGGATAGACATTAGGGGTCAGACTCCTAACGTCTTATTAAAGAGCACATATCACTACTATTGTGCTACCATATGTGATAGCAATATAGTTAGGTAGAAAACAAGACATTTACAAAAATAAAATTTTCTTTCTTTCCTTTTTGTTTTTTATTTTTTTAACCTTGAAGTTGTCTTCATGTATGAGCACCTGAAGCAAGAACTGTTCTTTCAGCCCATCATGACCAATCAGATGCTTTTTTGCTCACCCAGTGAAGTATGATTTCAAACATAACACCCATCATTCAGCTGAGTGGTGATTTTGCATTACAAGTGTCCTTTTGTTCCTTGCAGTACTGCCATACAAGTATCCTTTTGAAAATAGATAAATAACTGTATATTTCTACGCATGTCCCCTAGAACAGAGGGATAACAGTCAAGCACAACTGTGCAAATACCCCACATATGCATACAAAATTCCAATTCAAAACGTCTCCCACTGTGTGTAACACTAGAGGTATGATAGATTGTAAGCACTTTTGGTGACAGAGAATGTTGAGTGTTCTTGTTTCTGTTCTCTGCAGAATTGTGGTATGTAGCATTACTATATGATAGGTAAAATAGATACATTTCCAAATTGATGGCATTATATGCAATAAATGTATAAATAATTGAAATGGTAAGTTTAATGTACACATACATGTGGGGTTTATTTCCATGGATGACTGGTTTGAAATGAGGAGAAATGTAATTTTAATCTTATCTAATAACACACGTTTCTTGACCTTTGCAGTTATTTTAGAGCCAGTGCCTGCAGCCCTTCAGCTGAGGAGACTCATGCCCACTCTCAACCTTAATTTCTCTAATGTAGGGGGCTAGGACTGGTTCTCCATCAGCTCCAGCCAGACCTGTCATTTCAGCCCTCCTCCTTGTCTCATCCATACCCCAGAATAAAACATCTTTTATGGACAAGGACTAATCTCAGTTCATTAGTTAAGGCTGGAGGCGTCAGTCCTTCCTTCGTTAAGCCATTTCCTAATTCATCTGTGGCTGGAGAGTATCAGACATATTTTTACAAGCAGGTGCCTGACGCCAGAGGTGGGGCCTCAGGTTAACCCTTAAGTTGCATTGGTGGATGCAGTAACTGCAGTCATAAATTAATTCCTGGAAAAAAAGAGAACAAGGAATTAGCAGATGATGATGCTGGGATTAGTAGTATTTTCTGGTACGTTTTACACAGTTTGAGGTTTGTAAACAATGCCACTTTTATAATAACTGATTTAGAATTAGTTAAAAAATTGTTTCTAATGAGGTGAGGTTTACTGTAAGAACAATACAGAATGTCAAACAATTAGATTATACAATTTGATTGTTGTACTCTTCCAGTAGTAGTTTGTGTTAAAGCGTATGTAAGCCCAAAAACAAAAATGTAATATATAGCAGCTTACCAGTCCTTAGATGTGATTACTGGATCAATTTTCTTTTGACAGGCTAAGAACATTTTTAGCAAGTACCGAAACTACTTGACAATCGTGTCAGAAATGCTGTGTCCTAGATGAAGTGATATAAAAAACATTGCTATTATCCATTCAAAACTATCTTCTGTAAACTGAGATGAGTCCTAATAACAAGACTGAGAGTGCCACATGTTTGTATCAAGTCTAGTAGAGGTTTATTAAAAGTCAGATGATAACACCAATGCATTGTAGGGGCTTACAGCTGCTCTTCATCAGGACTGGTGTGCTGGCAGTTATTTGGTGTGATGTCACAGCACTTACTCTGCATATGGTGGCCAGGACCAGCCTTTCCCTACAGTAATAAATCTCTGCTATTGTATCTATTGCTGGCTGGTTACAGCCAGCAATAGATCCCTACTAAAAGTACTCTGCTGCACACCTGCATTAGTGGTATGGATAAGATCTCCACTAACCCATACAAAAATGTGTGAAAATAGATAATAGAAAAAATAGAAAAAGAAAAAAATAGAATAATAAATATATTTAGCAAAGTGGCGTAATGGTTAGCACTTTTGCCTTGCAGCACTGAGGGTCCCTGATTCAAATCCTGGCAAGGACACTATCTGCATGGAGTTTGCATGTTCTCCTTCTGCTTGCGTGGGTTTCCTCCGGGTACTCCGGTTTCCTCCCACACTCCAAAGACATGCTGAAAGGTTAATTGGCTCCTGTCTAAATTGGCGCTATGTTAGATAGGGACCTTAGATTGTATGCTCCTTGAGGGCAGGGAGTGTTGTGAATGTGGAACTATGTAAAAGGCTGCGTAAATTGCCGGCTCTA